ATACGATTATCTTATCAATAAAAAAAAACTCAGTTTAAAATAATAAGACACAATCTATAAAACCTGAAATTCAGTTTCAGTCAGTCGATGGGAGGGACGGAAATGAATTAAGGTTACAGAATAATAGTGCACCTGTTTAAGCACCAACAAGTACACGAATCCGTTTCACTGGTTTCGGTGTTAGCTAACAAAATTTGAATAAAACAGAAAGGTTTGGTATCACGTTGCATCCCAGAGATTACTAGATCTAGAATAATGGAAAATAGTTAGGCTTTAATCCACTATTTATACATACACTGAGTCTGATAAAGGACCTGGCGGAACTTAAACACCATTGAAAGCAATTAGGTTTTTTCTTTTAAGTAGCTAAGACTGCCATAAAAGTTAAATAATTATCAAGTATCTCCCTTGAACCGGGATATTTAGTGTAGCATAACGACGCCAATCTACTGAGTTTATTATTTTATTACGGGTTCCTTAATCTGGTCGGTCAATTGTTCACCGATCAATACACGATGGTAACACACAAACGTAGTACCCCACGCCGCTTTGACGAGTGTGGTTGAGTTAAAGTTCATCCTGCCCATCATCCTCTGTCGCATTATGATGTGTGCACAAATTATCGTTCCTTAAACCGCACTTCTACCGTTGAAGCCAGGTGATATGAAGCCTTCTTGCCCTGTTCAAATCCTGGATACCAGTATCATGCAGTAATGGAATCGTGACCACAGTTGACAGACAGATTCGTGACTGATATGGCACTAATGTCAGGTAGCCGTAATTTACTCCTCTGATCCCGGTCTGTCTCTCACAAAATCGTGAACAGGACGTCCGCCTTCATCTTAGTGGTCAGATGAACTTCGACCGTGAGTTTTCTGACATTTTTAAAAATACTGCACTGGACGACAGGGTTCAAGCAGCATAAGTTGACAACCCAACGAACAGGAAGTTGGTCCTGAAAATTTGATACTCACCCCGTTCGCATTTGAAATGAATCAGGAGTATGAACGATATCAGTAGCAGCAGTATCATCAAACAGCGATGAAGCAAACTTTATTGATTGCTTCCAAGCCCACACTATACACAGAGGAAGTACGAAAGCGTAAAACGCCTGTACAGTGGGCCTGTGCTGAGGGAAGGTGAATCTCTGTGGTCAACACAGAGTACGCAGTCTGTTAGTGCGCGCGCACACACACACACCTGCAAGCATTCTGACCTGATAAAAAATGACTATAGAACTCCACGGCTGTCAGTTCGCTTAGATAGAAAACTGGTAAGCACACACAATACATGCCCAAAAACAACGAAGTTAACCAATCCAAAATCGATTGGATAGTGAATTTATCACCGATAAATTCCCAAACATACTACGATTTATTTCTTGATTACAAAGTTGCTCACTGAGTACCACTTGCGCCAAATTACGTAAACACCGTCGAAAACCCGATCGTAAAACAGATCATTGACTTCACATTCTATTAGTTTCGCGAAAATAACCCACTGTGAAAGTATAAAGTTGGATTCTAAAGGGTTCGTAACCAAGCATTCTTGCCTAAGGACGATATTTTTCATCAGAATTGACAAAAAAAGCACTAAAGCTTCTGACCGCGTTTGGATCGTGTATTGCACCCGCTATACTGACTACTATTAAAACAGTACGATCGGCGCTTTGGGTCCAAGCAGTGTGATCTGCTGATTTCCGATGATCGCTTACTAATCGGGACTCAATTAATGAGAGCAGTGCATGGTTATTTGTGTATAGTACAGTTAGTACACCGGAGTGTGAAGGCCGCAGGATGTGAATGAAACATAAAATCAACAAAACATACCACGTGATAGGCATACATGCACACGAATGCATACATACATACATACGTATAGGAAAACGGAAAAAGAAGTAAACCTCGTTTACATCATCCAAACTGTGTCTCTGATCCCTTATATGTGCACATTTTATTTTTATTTATGCGGAAAGCATACCACAACACTTCAGGCAATTGTGTTATTTACAAAAATGCCGGATACAAGCTCAAAGGAGAGAGTGAAATGAATGGTCTTTGTGAAACATTGGTCGACGTTGGAACCGGAAATGGGCTCCAAAACAGGGTGGTATTGAGATTGAGTGGGGCAAAGTGGAACAAGAGTAATGAATCACAGCCAAATTCCCTGCGTGTGCAATTCAGGTGAGGATGTCGAGGAGAATGGAACTATATAAAAAGGAGATATTCACATCAGTCCATTTCGGTTCGGGATGGTCCAGTGGGTCCGGGAAATCCTCGAGTATCCTTTTTCCCGAAGGAAAATCCGGACTTGTCTAAATTAAGCCGATCCAGCGGAGCGAACAGTGATGACGTAGCAGGAAGAAAGGGGATATGAACATAATCGAAAGAATGGTAGCGTGAGGTGGCGAATATGCGTATGATCCTCAGTGAACTTGCTAAAAATTGAGTATATTATAGAGTTAATGTATTGAAGAATGGCCCACGATCTAACTGCTTCATGAGCGAAATGAGTTCATACTACCAGGCTATACACTGGTAGTTGTTTAACTTTTGGTTGCCTGGACTTCAACTAATGCAATCGAACAATAAAAATATAGTGTTCGGTGGTAGGCAACCTCGCTATTGTACGGTTCAATATCACGTCTATATCAATGGTGCCATTGTAGATCGATAATCGAAGAACCAGGGCTTGAGTCATCGGGTGTCATTAACTGAGCAAAATTTCATGGCTATAGGGATCATCTCTCATCACACAAAGATGTGGATTAACAAACACTGCACGGATCGGCCCGATAATATTAATTAAACAAACATGAAACAATAAAGTACTGATGCGCTCCTCATTACTGCAGACTAAATGTGAGGCCTTGGCAACCAGCAGCTCCAATCCAGTATCCACAAGCGCCAAGGCGAAACCGGGTTCTACTCCGTCAGTTTTCACCGGAGAAAATCGTGGAAAACCAATGCGGTCGTCACTAAAATCTTCATCATTTTTTACTTTATCCACGAATAGTTTAAGCCAAATCAGAATGTGAAAATATAAGGGGCATTCAATTTCATTTAAAATGAAAAGGTATCTAAAGAACATTACACTGTTGTATAGTGATAATAAGATTAGTGTTTGTTACTCACTGTTACCCAATAAACATTGGTACCACCGATCATTACGGACGAATCAGTGGCAAGTCAAAGGCGGCAGGGGACACAGAGAATGGACGACACTAGGCGCTGAGGTTGGAAATCAAAAATATGACCTGAGAGTCAACGTAACGGTGACCTAGACAATTCCAACGCTATTGACCGTTCATACAAGCTGTAGAATCCCTTGAATAAGTGATTGCTCGAGTATATTTTGTGTGCTTTGTCCTTTAAAAGTAAAGAGATGGAGAAGGCTGCGGCTGCAGCTATCGGTAATAGTCGCTATCTTTTGCGTTTAATTAGGAGTACGAGCCGAAGGAAAGCAGGCGTACGTGAGGTAACTAAGCAGTCTGACGGCACACTGATTCATATTCAGCCACGCCGTCTTGAACGACGGGGACGGTTCATCTGAAGCCCGCTGACACAAGATCTCCCCATGCTCGCTTCACCTGGGCGAATATTGCCAATTGACATCAGTCCTCCATATGAAATGGAGGTTACCCGGGAAGTAAATTACCTGGTATAAGGCATCCGGCCCCAACGGTCTCTCCCTATCGGTTTTTAAGCATGAAGGCTCAGTCTTAGTCTCGGAATTAACGGAACTCCTGGGCTGTGTGGGAGAGGGAACAGGTTCCAACCGAATGATGTAAACCGGTCATTATACCGAGTTATAAGAAAGATGACAGATCCTCTAGTGAAAACCACAGAGGAATTAGTTTAGTAAACATCGTCTTTAAGGTATTATTTACTTTCATCGGAAAGCGGCTAATGCCGCTGTAAATTTCACTCAAATAAAGATAAGCAATGATAAACACAAACACGTTTTTAATCTAATTGAGAACGAATACACATCATCCCTTTAGGATTGCGTAACGTACTCGCAGTGTTGTACCAGGCGGTTGTAGCTGAATTCCCATGGGTGTTGCTACATGAACTCCCAAAAAAGCAGACGTACAGACTACGGGATGAATGAGAACAGATGACGTTGAAACGATGGATATACATTAGGTGTCTTCAGTTTCACGAGACAGAGTAGAAAGGCTGGCAAACTAGTTGATTAAAAACACTGAAAGATACGTCAACGAACCGACAGCAGTTGCGTTTTTGTTATCCTTTGCAATCAGGTTTCAATTTGAGTTTCATAACCATTAACCATGCACTTTCGTGCGCCCGTTCTGGTTGCTGTCTTCTGGTCACCCATTTCGATAGAAGAGCAATATAAAAATTGGAATGCTGAGAACAGAGTCGAAGTGAATGTAGAGAATTCATACAGACTGGAGTTACAAGAACAATGAGCAGATGCACCAGCGCCATTGTTTGCGACACTCAACCACATCAATTAGTATCTCTAACCACCAGCTATCATGGTCTTGGGGTCCCCATCCAGGGAGCCGAACGCGACCTATGTGACCCAATCTCCTGGTTACGGTTTTCATACCATCGGAGTAGGTCTTAATTTGACTACTCTTGCTCTTTTCCATCCGCTGCCTGGTTCAGCAAACGTCGTGCGCGAGATCAACCTATTTGGTGATATGTGCAATACATGTCCCAACCACCATAGTCTACGGAGGTAGACCACTTGTTCCAGTGGAAGACCGCGATTACGTGAAACTCTGTGTTTAACCTCAGTATTGTTTTATGGTTTTCCCATCGCCTCGTGCAATGCGGCGTAGACAGTGGTGTGCGAACACCGACAGTCTATTTTCATCCTATCCCCGTAATGGTCGTCCCTGCTCCGTAGAGCGGGACTGGCCTAATTACTGCAGTATATATTCAACACTTCACAGACAGCCTTATGTTGCGACGGCGTCACATATACCTCCAGTTGGCAAACATCAACCGAGCCTTCTGTAAGCGTGTCGACAAATAAGGGATAATGCGTCTGATAAGTGAGACTTAGTTACCCAACTAAAAAAAATTGTTCACCTCCTCTGAATGTGAATCAGTGTGCCGTCAGACTCCTTTATTACCTCCCTTACGCCTACTTTCCTTGAGTCTTAATTCAACGAAAAAGATTGTGACTATTATTGACAGCCGCAGGCTTCCCTATCTCTCTACACATCCCCATCCACCATTTCTCGCGGTAATTTCTTAGACTCTTGAAGAGCGATTTTTAAGGGATTGGCTGCTTGTCGTGTTTTATATCGGTAGGAATGGCTTTGCGAGCGGCCAGCAGGGTAACCGAGGTTGAGGAGATCTATCGTTTTTGTTCTGATCGTGCATCAGAATTCGCTGTTGTTTTGATTGGCATTTAGAGCGCTTACTTGATTACCGTCGAGTGTTTATTGAGTACTTCAGATGATAGTTGAGCTGAAAGGCGATCACAGAGTTCCGATTTGCAACTATCGCTGACATCCTATTGCCGGAATCTGTGTCCGGTGACTTTTGTGTGTTTGTTTAGCAGAGGTGAGGAGGATCTGGCGCGTAGCAGAGCATGTTGACCAGTATGAGTGACAATCTTCAATCGATTCTCGTCAGCGGTATCTGATCGTGATGTGGTTGATTTGGGTCCAGCGCTATGAAGAAGTTGACGGTTTTCATGTGAGGCGGTGTCGTCTCTTGTGCGAGAAGTTCGTGCTTGACAGGAACAATCCCTGGTCCGCGCAAATTTGAAGTTGGCTATTTCCGTTGTTCGTCCGGTTGGACAGGATTGCATGTGTATCACAAAGAAACATTTATGATTCTTCCAGGAAACAAACTTAAGCTTTGAAGCCTGCAACGACTACCACGATGTTCGTTGACCGAGCACTTTGGAGTAGTTGAGAGTTGAGAGGTCCTTGTAGGATTCATTCTTAATTTTTGGTGAACTGCAACCGGCCGGTGCATACACAGACACGACAAATAAGCAATGACGCTTCGTTCTGTAGCTGTGGGCTCGCAATAAACCGTTGAGACGAACAGTGCAAAGTCGGCTACTAACCGGAATCCAATCTAGAATAGAACGCTCGATGTTGACACTTAGAGCAATGCCAACACCAGCAAGCAACACCGCGAGCGCCGATAGCGAGTCACGAAGAATGACGCCTGAGGATGAGGTTGGATCTGGAGATCACAAGATGATGATTGAAGGAGGTCTCTGTATGCATCTAAATTGAAAACTTCAAGGCTTCTAGGCAGCTTGTTGAACGACCTGACAAATGTACGAAAACTGAGTGCAGTCACGGGAAATTTTGATTTTAAAAATCTGATGACCTTTGGTTGGTAGACCTTACTAGCTGCACGCTGGGTGATATCCCATGGGTAAAGCAAACAGGAGGTATATCCAAAGATTTGTGAGAGAGAGAAAATACTGGCCAAATGGGAAGGAGGGTTTTCCAAATGGGTAACTAAGACTCTGAGGCAAGAGACACTTCTCAGTAGCCCACACCAACGAAGGGGCTTTTCGTTGGGAACCTCAACCGGAGCTTTCGACCTAAAATTTCGACACACAAGGTAGTGGGGTGTAGATCCAAAGCGAAAGCGTGACCGAAGCACCCATTTGAGAGCTTCTAGAGACCTACTACGCAAGGACTTCCGGTTTCGGTTTAGTGTGTTGTTCGCAGGTGCGTTGACTGTTGGTACGTTGTTCGCGATTGGCCCTTAGCCTCATGTATCATCATTGTACAATGTAATACGGTGAAGCGAACTTCACTGATCGTTGTCAAACTCATATTGCATACAAGGTAAGTGAGAATGTGTAAGGAAGATAGGGATTGGACTGAATTTCAGGGACGGGAAAAGAAAGCGAACCTCTATGGTCAACACAGAGTATACAGTCCAACTGTACATATATACTATTTTGTGGTGGTGCAGTGGTTTAGTCACTCTCACCGGCGGGCTTTGGATCCTATGGTCCGNCGTTCGAGCCCCACTACCGCCACCCGACTTTGGTGGTAGGCAGCTCTGCCGTAGTCCGGTTCAATACCACGCCTAACCTATCGGGGCCTTATGTGGTTCGCCACTCCAAGTCCCGGGACTTAGGTTGCCGGTTTCCACCGCTGAACAGCAGATTCTTGTGACTATGGGGTTCGCCCTATCTGCAGTTCATCACACGGGGGTGGGTAATAAAAATAATTCTGGTCTGATAAGAAGTGACAGCAAGATCATCATTGCTGTCGGTTAGCAGCCATAACCTTCAGTGTCTTCAACCATGCGGTTACGGAGTCTTTTGGACCCCAACCCGGAAGACGAGACA